TAGTTTAGTAGTTAAAAGAATTATTACGAGAGTTACCGCGTTAACTAAAACGTTGATTCTTTTTCACACTCGTTCGTCAATATTATTCGATTAATAAACCCGAGTTTTCATTTTTTTTTCTCTTTTGTTTTATTGTGTTCGTCGTTATTTATTTACTTATTTATTTATTTATTGTTAACTTTATTTATTTATTTATTTATCGAGTGAAAAATTTCATTTTAAAACAAACACCCGCGCGCGCGCGCGCTTAAAAAAAAAAAAAAATTTAAAACGGCGGCAAAATAATTACTGACAATATGGATTCGTTACAAAATTACTAAAATTCGATTTCGTGTGATAATAATAATAATAATGATGATGATGATGATGAAAACGGTTTGATTTACGTTCCTCTTTTTTTAACAAAAAAAAAAATTGGAAAAGGGGGGGGTTGTTGATATACGAGTGATAAATTTTTTTTTTTTTTTTTTATTAAAAATTCCAAAAAAATTAAATCATTATTAATAATAATAATAATAACGAGGTTGTTATCATATCGTTGTATGTTTCGTTATAAAAAAAATTCGTCTGTGATAATAGTTATGGTAGTAAATAATAATAATAATAATAATAATAATAATAATAATAATAATAATAATAATAATACACATATTATTTTGTGAAATTAAATAATTATTATTAAAAATTTTATTCGATTATTTATATATATATATATATTTATTTGTTGTTGTTGTTTTGTTTGTTATTGTTGTTAATTTTTTTAAATTATTATTATTATTATTTTTTTTTTTTTACGTAATCATTATGAATAAGAAGAACTTTGATAAAGAAGTAATAAATGGAAAAGAAAATGTTACGGCTGTGGATACAAATGATGATGATGATGATGAACAACATTCCAAAATAAAAAATGGTGAGTTTTTTTATTTATTTTTTTATAATGAATAATAAATTTATCGGGGGGGAAAAAAAAAACCTCGGGTCGAATTTACATAAAAATCTTATTTAAATTAATTAATTTTTTTTTTTAATGTCTTCTGCTTTCATTTTTTTTTTTTTTTTTTTAATAAAAACGTCAACAATAATTAATTTTTATATATATAAAAAAAAAAAAAAAATTGAATTTTCAATATTTCGTTTTTTTTCTATTTTCACGCTGTCCGAATAATTATTATTTCGAATTATTAGAATCAACAAGTGAATATCATACTTTACTTATGAGCAAAAAAAAACCTTCATTATTATTATTATTATTATTATTATTATTAGAAAAAACGAGCGAAATTTTTTTTTCTATCCATTCGTGAGTTCACATCTTAAATTACTTTTTAAATGAAAGAAATCGAATATTCGATACGAAAACAATTTTCTATCTCTCTCTTTCTCTCTCTCTATCTCTCGTTTAAAAGCGTATAAAAAGGAAAAGGAAAGAAAATTTTTTTTTTTACGGGATACGGTCCTGAATCGTATTAAATTATCATTATTATTTTTTATCGTATGAAATGGCAAACGAAAAATCTCATTTGAGTTTTTTTTTTTTTTTTTTTTATGTTGCCGTCGTGTCGTTAACTACTACCAACTTTTAAAAATTAATTATTTATTAACGTAGATTATTATTATTATTTTTAACGATTTCATTTATTACATGTAAAACGATGATGATGATGATGATGATAATAATAATTAAATTTTCCGATAACGTATTATCACCGTAATTAAAAACGTTTCGAATTACATTGGATTTTACCTTTATGGTGAAAAATCAGGTATTTTTA